TTGTGCTTCCAAGGGGTCAGGAATTTTTGTTCACTTTCCTATGTCCTACTGTCTGTTGCAGTAATAAATTCAGGAACTAAATGTTATGGCCTTTGTGAGTCCTTCCTAGGTCACTCCCTTCCTCCCCAGTTCCCTCTGCCATAACATCTCCTGTTATCTTTTCCTTAGTGTGTAGCAATAGACACACATTTATTCTGTCCCCTACCCCACAGAATATAAGCTCTGTGTGCAGAGATAATGTCTTTGTTTCTTGTTTTATTTATTCTTTGTCTGTGTGTCTGTGTGTGTGTGCCTGTCAGAAAACAACTGGAAACTGGTTCTCTCCTTCACTGTGGGTCCCAGATACTGCACTCAGGTTTTCAGACTTGGTAGTAGGTGCCTTTACCTGCTAAGCCATCTCATCGTGAGATCACTTCTTGGTAACCCCCATGCCTCCTGCAGTTATCCTCGTCTACATAGCGAATTTGTGTTCAAGGTCAGCCTGAGATACAAGAGATATCTCAAACAATTTGAGTAAGTATGGACTTTAGTGAAGAACACCACTAATTAATTAACAGCAAACGTATCACATGGCAGTGAACATGTGACAACAGGGGAAACTGAAGTGGGCAGGGTATATGAAAGCTGTTCTACCTGCTCATTTTTTTCTGTAATTTTTTTTTTTTTTTTTTTTTTTTGGTCTTTTTGAGACAGGGTCTCCCTGTAGCCCCAGCTGTCCTGGAACTCACTATGTAGATCAGGCTGGCCTTGAACTCACAGAGATCTGCCTGCCTCTGCCTCCCAAGTGCTGGGATTAAAGGCATGCGCCACCATGCCTGGCCTGTAAATTTTTAAGAAATATCTACTAACAAAAAAGAAATGTAGTATTTACTAGGGTAATTCTCCCACCCACCACCTAACCAAATTAGCATTTACCAAGGTCCTAGCCTGTAATCCTAGCTACTCAAGAAGCTGAAGGAGAACTGCACATTCAAGGCCAGCAGGGCAACTTATCAATACCCTAGCTCAAAAACTAGAAAGTAAAAAAGGGGCCAGGGATATAACTCAGCAGTACAGTGCTTATGCAGGAGACTCATGGTTCAATTTTTAAGTAGATAGCTGTTGTCTTGTTTGAGGGCAGAGCAATGGAGCATAATAATAAACATCTGGGAGGCCTACACAGAGGAGGAGGCACAGCAAAGAAAGACACACAAACAAATGTGTAGGCTGGGTCTTGACTTTATTTTGAAGAGACAGGGTTTTACTATGCTGCCCAGATCAGCCTGGAATCCCTAGAAACAAGCAATTCTGTCTCAGCAACTCAGTGACTGGAACAAGAGGTACAAATCCCCGATTCTGACTTTAAAAAAAAAAAAACCTGGGGGCTGGAGAGATGGCTCTGCAGTTAAGAACACTGGTTGTTCTTGCAGAAGACCCAGGTTCGAATTCCAGCACCCACATGGCAGCTAACAACTGTCCTAACTCCAGTTCCAGGGGATCCGACAGCCTCTTCTGACCTCCGCGGGTACTGCACGACACGGGTGCGCTTACCTACATGCAGGCAGTACACACATACACATAAAAAAAAACAATAAATTAAAAAAAAAAAACTGGAGCTGGAGAGATGGCTCAGTGGTTAAGAGCACTGTCTGCTCTTGCAGAGGACCTGGGTTCGATTCCCAGCACCCACATGGCGACTACGAACCGTCCTTGACTCCAGTTCCAGGGGAAACCGAAGCCCTCTTCTGACCTCCACGGCATTGCACGATACGGGTGCACTCACATGCATGCAGGCACTACACTCGTACACATAAAATAAATAAATAAATATATATATATATATATATATATAAAATAAAATAAAAAAAACCTGTGCCTCCAAGAATCTGCTTAGGTATTCTTCTCCCTGAAAATGAATATGGGAACAATCAAAATGACCACCTCTAAGGAAGCACTGTAAAGGTTAATAGTTTATTTGCTATATTATTGTAGCACATGCACAGTAGATAAATATACTTCAGGAAGTGCCAAAGTTTCTAAATATATAAAGGAAATTTTAAACATTTCAAAGTAGGTAAAATGTAAAACTGGAATGACTGCATAAAAAAGAAGCTAAAATGAACATAAAAACATGAAGATGGGTGGAGCATGGTGGCTAAGCTTTTCATTCCAGTACTCCAGAGGCAGAGGCAGGTAGATCTCTGTAAATTCAAGGCCAGTCTGGCCTACATACTGAGTTCCAGGCCAGCTGCAGCTACAGGGAGACCTTGTCTCAAAAAAGACCAAAAAAAAAAAAAGAAAGAAAGATGACATATTTAAGATGATGCAGAGCTGGAGAGATGCATCAATGGTTAAGAGCGCTGGCTGCTCTTGCAGAGGAGCCGGGTTTGATTCCCAGCACCCACATGGCAGCCAACAACCATCTATAATTCCAGTTCCAGGGGATCTGATGCCCTCTTCTGACCTCTGAGGGCACTGTACAACATGGGTGCACTTATACGCATGGAATATACTCATACACATAAAAAATAAAAATAAAGCTGGGCATGGTGGCACATGCCTTTAATCCCAGCACTTAGGAGACAGAGGCAGGCAGATCTCTGTGAGTTCGAGGCGAGCCTGGTCAACATAGTGAGTTACAGGCCAGCTGGGGCTACAGAGAGACCCTGTCTCAAAAAGACTAAATAAATAATTTTTTTTTAAATATACTTAACTCTGACCATATTCGTCCCCTATTCTCCTCTCTTGTTTGCTTCCTCTTTCCAAACAGTCCCCTTTCTATTTTCATGCTGCTTTTTTTTCCCTTGCAGTGTTGAGGATCAAACCTATGCTAAGTAAGCGCGCTCACTGTATCTATCCCAGCCTTAGGTCTTGCAATTTTCATCTAGATTTGGCCTATGAGAGAAAACAGGCCATATATCTTCCTGAATCTGCCTTATATCAAGTAGTAAGTTCCAGCTCCTTTCATTTTCCTGCAAATGAAAGAATATATATATTTTTGGTCTTTTTGAGACAGGGTCTCTCTGTAGCCTCAGCTGGCCTGCAACTCACTACTGTAGACCAGGCTGGCCTCATCTCACAAAGATATTCCTTTCCTCCCTCCCTTCCCCTTCTTTCCCCGCCCCCACCTCTGCCTCTGCCTCCTAGATACTGAGATTAAAGGCATGCACCACCATGTCCAGCTAATTTTTCTTTTCTATGACTGAATAATACTTGATCGTGTATTTAGGTTTTCATTGCCAGGCACCTAAGCTGATTCTATAACTTGGATATTGTGAATATTAGTGCCATAATAAATGTGTGTAGGTATCTCTGCTGTAGGCTGATTTTGATTCATATACCCAAGCAGAAACATGTGGTTCTTCAAATTTCATCTGGAAAACAACACTTGAGATGGAAAACAATTCTTTTCTAGAGAAAAACCCATGCTCATAGGGACCTGTAACTCTCAGCAGTACAGTTTGTCTTAAGATGAAAGGTCATGGTTTTACAGAGCCACTTGTCTACTCATATGGTAGCATTCACCCAGTTCCTTTCCACACAAAACTGTCTTGAGATTGCTGTAATTTCTCATTTACTGCAGCCACACTGTTCCATAATAGTCAAGGGTATGACCAAAGCACATTTCTAGTAAGAGCGACTTGTTTACAATCAACTGATAGAGCTGGGCATACCATACTCAAAGACCAATTCCATAAATGTTAACATCCCTCGTTTTCAGTGTATATTTATTTGAGACGGTCTCATTATGTAGCCCTGGCTGGCCTGAAACACACTATGTAAACTGGGCTGGCCTCCGACTAACAGAGATCTGCCTGTCTCTGGCACTGAGTGCTGGGATTAAAGGTGTGCGCTACCGTGCCCAGCTGTTTTCATTGTATGTTTATCAAGTTCGCCCACAGAGACCACCTGTTTTGTGTCTTCTTTCTAGGGACAATGACTCCTGTAGCCCAAGTTGGTCTTAAACCGGCTATGTAGCTGAGGCAGTGGGCCATCAGCTTCGCATATACTCATTCAACACACATTTACTGAAAGACGCACGCATACCCGCGTCTGCTTTCTTGTCATCATAGGTTGGAGCTATTTTTGATGACATGACTGCAAAAGCGAGGCAACTCCCGCCTTGTCTAGAGCCATGATAAGCATTACTGAGTATGAAGCTTCCCAGGACGCAGGAGGCACGGGCCTCCTATAAGTATCACCCTGGACAAGTTCTCTCAGGCATCTCTGGAAAAGAATTCTTTTCTCGGTGCAAAGCGACTGCCCTGCGTCCCCTGGGGAACACCACAGGTTCTTCCTAGACTCTGGGGCGCTCGGGAGCAGCGCTGCACAATAGGCTACGGCGGCGCCTCCAGGTGCATCTCGGGAACGTCAGCAGAACCACCCTAGTCCTCCGTGCTCTCGCCCCGCTCATTCCGGCCTATTCCGGCCGTGCACTCAGAAACCCTTCGGCCTGCCTCCTGGGTTCCCGGGGTCTTTGTTCCCGGAGCGCGGACCCACCACAGGACTGTTTGCGTGTGTGACCCACACATCCAGCCTGGAGATGTGCAGGGGCGTGGAGAGGTAGCCCAAACGCCGGACCAGGATACCCGGATCTAGGCGCTCGGCCCACCTCCCTCCCAGCGCGCTCGCCAGCGGCAGCTCTCCCGCGCAGACGGTTCGCGCGGGCTCCGCAGGGCGCGCTGGCGGCGAGGCGGGGCGGGGCGCGCGGGTCCGGGGCCTGCACGTGGTGGCCGCAGTCATGCCTTCCCGGCCCGGTCTCTAGGGGGCCTCCGCGACTGTGCAGACGGGTGTGCCCCAATTCACTCCAGTGAAGTGGTTTAACGCCCACTGGAGCCTGGGAAAGGGAAAGGAAGGGAGGGCGCAAGCGTTTCCCGCGCGGAGACGGCGAGATGGACATCTCAGGGAAAGGGCAGGGGCTGGTGGCGGGCCGAAGTAACCGGTCCTCGGACGCGATGACCGGGTCATCGGGACCGGGCTCGAGGACAGGTGTACACGTACCTCGGCGGGGGCTGAAGCGCCTCCCCATTCGTGACCGCCCCGGGGATGGCCAAGCGGCTGTGGCGGCTCTCGAGTGGCTAGCAGCGGCGCACGTGGCCGGCCGCGCGCTCCGGCGTGTTTACATTCTGCGGCCGCTGCACGTTGTGCAGCTGTCCTCGCCTGCCATTGGCTCCTCAGCCACAGCTTTGCTCCTCCCGGAGGGGCGGACCTTCCCGCTCGCAGCGTCTCAAGGAAGACCCAGGTGACCGGGGGCCTTGGCGGGACCACCGGGCGCCCCACGGGGTCGCCACTTCCTGACTGATCTAAACCCAATCGCTCCGCCTCCCCCGGAGCGCCAGGGCTGAAGTGCTGCCCCGCGATCCGAGCACTACAGTGGGAGGGACAGGAGCCGACTGGCGGGAGATGCTGGAACCTAGCTGAGGGCAGCGGACACGGAGGACGCTCTGGGAGGTTGTTGCAGCGGCGGCTCGCAGGCAGGTGTAGCGGGGCGCCGGACCGGGAAGAGCGGCCGGGGCTGGCTGGCGGCTGTAGAACCTCTGGGCGCCGGCGCATGCTGAGGGCAGGGCGCGGCGTGCGCTGGCGGGCGGGGCGGGCGCGGGCGGGGAAAGGGAGCGCGCAGTCGGAGGTGTCAGTCTGCGGCGCATGCGTGTGGGGCGGTCCTGGGCAGGCTTATATATTGAGTTGGCGCCGGCGCCAGCTGAGACGAGCTGTAGAGGGTCTGGCGGTGAGATATTGGGCAGGGGTGGGGGGTGGGGGATGCGGGAGGGAAGCAAGCCTCGCCTGGTGGGAGCCTTGGGAGAGGAAAAATGGGAGGGCGAACTGGATGACTCGGATTAATGGGTTTTCGAGGTCGGTCCCTGTCAAGATTCCCGTAGGACCAAAGAGCGGTGGGGGATGGGGGATGGTGGAGGTAGGTACCCCCTAAGTGAGGCCACGGAAGAGCCCCTCATTCTAGGGGCTGACCGCCCTCATCTGGAGATCTCCCGAAGGTGCGGATCCCTTCACCGGGGGAAAAAGTTCATGACGTGCCCAGTTTCCTCCCTTAACTCCCTTTTTCTTCCCTGTCCTGGAGTTAGGGTCCCGTGGCCCCTCCAAGCGACACTGCCCACCGCCGGGTGGGGCCGGGAAGGAGGGAAAGGCGCCTGGAGGACGTGACACCGGCCTATTCCCTCCGCCCCCCCTTTCCCCGCCACTGCCGCTCTCCAAATTGGCGCGGAACCCGCTTCTCAGCGTTTGGCCTCCACAGCCAGCTCTCGGCAGCGGCAGCGGCGGGCCGATCTTGGGCGCGCCATCCCCACCCTGGGCGTGCAGGGCAGAAAGTGGATGACCCAGAAAACCTCATCTGAGGGGTGCTTTGCAATTTTTTTTAGGCACATGTTTGCCAAGTGCTTTGAGGAAATGCAGGCTATGTATGCAAAATTAATTAGCATGAGGTAACTAATGTGCAGAAGATATTGTGGTATATATTTTTTAATAGGCTCAAGCCACCTTTGGGTAACATTAGCTGTAACTTCTGAATTCGCTTTAATTAGCACTTGGAGAATATGAATGACAATGTTCTTGATTCTGGTTTATCTTCTCTCCCATTTAGGAGTTTTTTAGGCCTGAAACAAGAGAAATGTCAAGACGCAGGTAACACTCTTGGAGATATGTTTCAAAATGAGCTGCTGCCTTTGAAATGCATGACTTACTAATTAAACTTCCTTTTAAAAAATTCACCACAGTAGCCGTTTACAAGCTAAGCAGCAGCATGCCCAGTCCAACCAGCCAGATTCCCCCCAAGAAGCTCAGATAATTCAGACCAAGAAGAGAAAAACAGCACAGGTGATTTAAGGAGAAAGGGGGAGGGGGAGGAAATTCCTTGCTGGGACCTTAGCTTACAAAATGGTCTTTTCTATTTTCCAGGATGTTAAAAAAAGACAAGAGGAGGTCACCAAGAAACATCAGTTTGAGATTAGGGTAATGCAGAACGGGTTTGGGTGGGTTTGGAGGAAAGTAAAGTAGAAATTGTGTGACTGCTTTGCAGTGTAGATTCCTCTGACACTCTTCAGGCCCCACAGAGGTCAACAGGAAGGAGGTTCATATATGCCTGGATCCTAGTACAGCTGCAGTGTAGTTTGCCTTGAAGCAGCTGGTTCCTTTTTGTAAATCCCTCCCTCTTGGAATTGGCTGGTGCACCAGGGCCCGCCTAATCTGCCCAATATACTGTTCTTTGTTCACTCTGAGACTATAGTAGAGGGTCCTAATAGCTGATTCTTTGGCATGAAAAGGACGTGAAATCACTGACAGCCTAGCACCCAGCCCTTCACTACCTCTTCTTCCTATGTGTTATTCAAAAAGCACTTAGAAACAGCGATGCCCTTCAAAACCAATGTTATTGAAGAAAAGGTCCTCTAAGTGATTGCACTTGATTCAATTTTTAAAGATTTTGCCTTTAAACACTATTAGGAGAGTTCTTATTTTTAAAATAAATACCTTATTCCTGCTAATATTTCTAGAATCAGAGAATTGCATTCTTTTAAAATGATAGTTTATAAAGATTGATATGAATTATGTGGCTTTAAAAATATGAATCTGAAATTAGCTGTTAGATACTAGCTTTCATTTCAAGATGCAGAACAAAAGCCAAGATGTCTTGTTACATAACTAAGTTTTTTTTCTTTCTTTAAATGACAGAATTGTTGGCCACCTGTATTGTCTGGGGGAATCAGTCCTTGCATTATCATTGAAACACCTCACAAAGAAATAGAAACAAGTGACTTCTCCAGATTTACAAATTACAGATTCAAAAATCTTTTTATTAATCCTTCACCTCTGCCAGATTTAAGGTAAGAAAAATTTTGGTAAGTCTGCACCAAAAGTTAAGATTGTAGACTCAAAACAGTGCCATATATTCTCTCTTGCCTTATTTACAATCTTAACTCTGTTATTTTCCCTTGTTTGCTGAACACTACCAGATCTAGCAGAACTGAATTACCTTTTTAATGTATTTTAAATAATTTAAGTTAAAATGGAACATTTTAATCTAGACAGCATTTTTCATTATCAGCCCTATTCCTTATCAAGCTTAGTAAAGTCTACCTATATTTCTAGTTTATGATATGACTAAGAGATACAGCTTATACAAAACATTTGTGTAGTGATTTACAGTTGAATTGATAAGCAAATTAATGGAATCAAATAATAAAATTCATCAGCCTTGAGCCCCATACTTTGTAGTCCCTTAACCTCACTGTAGGTCATTCTACTATTTATGATCTGTTTCTAGGTGGTGAGAGTTGTCATCATTGTGATCCTATGCTGTGCCTTAAATATTTTAAGTTTCTAGCTGTTGCTTTTGAGAAAACACTGTTATCTTAATCTGTGACTTTTATAAATTATAAGTAGGATGAAAAAGCACCCCTACAACTTACCAATTTTGATAGTCATACTCCAGAGGTCAGTGAAGTTGCAAGCTTCTACTGTCTCATGAAAAAAGTAGTTTCTAAATAAACTGGAAATCTGATTAACTAAGAGCTACTTCTTTCAAGTTCTAATTGCAAGTTGGTTTGAATACCTAAAAGTTGGATTTATGCTGTGTAATCAGAGCTTGTACACATCACACAATGTAAATTATGTGCTTCCCCCCCCCCCTTATATAGCTGGGGATGTTCAAAGGAGGTTTGGCTTAACATGTTAAAAAAAGAAAGCAGATATGTGCATGACAAGCATTTTGAAGTTCTGCATTCTGACTTGGAACCACAGATGAGGTCAATACTTTTAGACTGGCTTTTAGAGGTATGTTCTAAAAATATAGGTTTTCTTTGTCTCTGATGGAAAAAATATATATTTCTATGTGACTTCAAAGTATACTGTCCATTACCAGCAAGCTATTTTTTCAGGGGCACATATTATAATCTGTGGCACCTAAAGGAGAATATGACTTATCTTTGTTATTTCCTCTTGTAATACTGGGGATTGAACCCAAGACCTTGTGTATGTTAGGCAAGCACTGAGCTATACCCCCCAGACCAGTTATCTACTTATAAGAGTAAACTCAAGGGTTGGAGTTTAGTTAGTGTGTGTGCCCTGCAAGCATTAAATGAGGCCCTAGGTTAATGCCCAGCATCAAAACAAAGAGTACAATCCTAAGGACACAGCCTCTTCCATATACCCCAAACCTCTAATTCAGAATTCCTGGTATGTGCTAGGTACAGTGTTCTAGATGCGGGTAATTAAAAATAACATATTTAGTTGACTGTGTTTTGAATGCTGGCATACAAAGAACCAGCCTAGGTTTCAGGGCCCTCAGAAGTCTTTTTCTGCATTATCAAAGCCAAAATAGGAATCTTGAGTCCATGCCCTAAATGAGAAGGCTTTGGATACCTGGAGGCCCTAAGCCCTCCTAAGTTTCATTTAGTTTCTTTTAAAATGTACTCCTATTCCTTAAAAAAAAAAAAAAAATTATACTTCTGAGTATTGTGGTATATTCATAATCCCAGTGTGGCTGAGGCAAGAAGAATCAGGAATTTAAGGCCAGCCTGGATGCTCCAGGTCAGAAGGGTTACATAGTGAAACCTTGTCTCAAAAAACTATCATTGCTGGGCATGGTGGTACATACTTTTAATACTCAAGAGACAGAGGCAGGCAGAGCTCTGAGCTCTAAGTTAGTCTAGTCTATAACAAGTTCCAGGCCAGCTGGGGCTACAGGAAGACCCTGTCTCAAAAACAACAAAATTATTATGATTAAATTATTGTATTAACAATTTAGGAGTATCAGTAGTCCTAAAGTTCCTATAGACCTGTGCAAACATTATTCACTGAGGTCCATTCCCTGTCTCTGGATAATTTTAAAATTATTGCTGAGGAAACAATGATGATAAACTGATTTTCTTCAACCCTTGGATATTTGCTTTTTAGTCTGATAGAGATGATGTACTGAGGCAGGAAGATTTAAAAATCTGATGCAAGCAAAGGCAGCTTACAAAAAAAATGTCTCAAAATAAAGGACAGGTGGGTAAGGAGTATGTAGCTTAGTGGTGAAATGCCTGCCTGACACATCTGAGGCTTAGGTTCAACCCCCAACATGGGGGGAGGAGTACGAGGAGAGGGGAATAAGACTCATTCTAAGGGAAAAGGCTGCGAGGTTCTGGGTAGGTTAGCCCATGGTAGAGCTCAGAAGCTATCAGAAATGTTTTCAAGGCTACAAAATGGTTCTGCACAGAAATAAGAGGGTTGTTGGGGTTTTTCTGCCTTTTCATTTGGGGGGGTCTGAAGACAACATAGGGTCTATTTCTGAATATCTAGTGATAATGGAATCAATATAGGCATAAATATGCTGATTAAAATTTTCTCTTTGTATGATACACTGATTTTTATCCAATGATTGTTATACCATGTTCCTTTTTTCCCTATTTATGATTATATATGCAAATTCACACAAAATATAATAAATCAAATGTTTTTTTAGTCTAAGTGAAAAGATAGTTCAGTGTTTGAAAATACTTTATTACCTTAGTAGTTAAAAGGGGCGGGGGGGAATCCTAGAATGTCAACAGATGGAAAAAATGTCTTCCTGAAATGCAACATTTATTCCTGATTTTTCTCTTTTTTCCTTTTATTTTATGTGTATGAGTGTATTGCGTGCATATATGTGAGTGCACCCGTGTCATGCAATGCTGCAGAGGTCAGAAGAGGGCTTCAGATTCCCCTGCAACTGGAGTTATGGACAATTTGTAGCTGCCATGTGGGTGCTGGGAATTGAACCTGGGTTCTCTGCAAGAGCAGTCAGTGCTCTTAACCGCTAAGCCATCTCCTCCAGCCCCTCTTTTTTTTTTTTTAAATAGGGTTCCCCTGTAGCTACAGCTGGCCTGGAATTTGGTATAAAGACCAGGTTGGCCTCAATTTCAGAAAGATCCACCTGCCTCTGCCTACTGAGTGCTGGTGGGATTAAAGGTGTGTACCACTATGCCTGTTTTTCTCTTTAGATTTAATTATGTGTATATGTGCCTGTGAGTGCAGGTGATCTCAAAGGCCAGAAAGGGCATTGGACCCCCTGGAGCTGGAGTTACAGGCAATTATGACCTACCCAGACTTCCTGTGCTGGGAGCTGAACTCAGGTCCTATGGAAGAGCTGTACACACTCTTTACCACTGCCATTTTCTAGACCCTTCTATTTCTGATTTTAAAATAATGTAACAAACTGTGAATAGAAGTTATTTAACAGTTTTTATTTGAACTCATCTATTACTATCCCTGTTTCCTCATATCTAAAAGTGGACAATGGCACCTGTTTCATGAAGCTACTCTGAAAATTAAAAACTTGCCCTTTAGTATGGAAATTACAGTATTAATGGTAATGAAACATGAAGGTAATTCCCACTGAACTAAAACATGGGATGAGATAGATTTATTAGCCTGCAGTAAAATAGGAAAAAAGTAACAGATGAAAAACATGGAAAAAAAAAAAGTAAAGCTATTAGAATAAATGAGGATAATAATAGGCTTATCCTATTAGTACCTGTTATTTTTTTCCTCCCTCTCACATCTTAGTATTGGTATCTTAAAAAGCAAAGTTGGGTCTAAAAGTATTTTATAATCTGGTTCTGAAGAAATTCTGGGGATAATATTTAAATATTTGGTTCTTCTTAGGTATGTGAAGTATACACACTTCACAGGGAAACATTTTACCTTGCACAAGACTTTTTTGATAGATCTATCTTGACACAAAAGGATATAAATAAAAACATGCTTCAACTCATTGGGATTACCTCATTGTTCATTGCTTCCAAACTTGAGGTAAGTTCTTAAATTTCATCCAGATATATTATAAACTTGTTTTAAACAAACAATCCCGAGATACTATGATTTTTATATTAAATCTTTAGGAAAGAGGAATGGTTTTGTTATAGTGATGGAAGAAAAAAAAATTATAGCTATCTTTGCCTAATGTAAGTCTAGCTTAGATTCTGGGATTAGTACGATTCATTTCACCAACCAGATCTATCAGTGTTGTCCTTACATGCTCAAAAGAACAGTCTTCAATGAAATGCTGGGTAGGAATAATGGTTTCTCTAGCCTAATGTTGGTGTTACAATCAATAGAAGGCAACTCTTACTGCCTCAGACTTTTCCTACCTAACAACCATCTATTATTCTTCAACAACATAGGTGGTATCATTCTGAGGGTGGTAGAGGAATTATAAGCATGTTAATATCCTGAAGTATGCTTTTCTTTCAAATGTGTCTCCTAGGCTTTATAAATTATCTCCCCAATTCTGCAAAATATGGCACATAGGTTTGTAGTCAATCTGTCCAAATGAAATCTTCCTCTTTAGACTGCTGCCATATGTGGCAGGTTTTTCTTCTAACCTTTTGATTACTTCTAATTATCTGGACTATTGAGACAAACTTGCCATCAGCTAAAACACATTTTTGTTTTTTTCTCCTGTGCTGCGGGTTGAGCCCAGGGCTGTACCCATCCTAAGCATGCTCTATCTCCAGCCCAGGGTTGGTTGATTTGTTTTTTGTTTTGTTTGCTTTTGGTCTGTGTGTGGTCCCCACAACCCCCAAAGTATAGGTGCTAGCTACCAAAGGCAAGCATAGCCCAGTATTTCTTGGTTAACCATACCTTTATACTAAGGTAATGTTTCTAATTTCTAGACTTATTTTTGTTCTTGTTTTGAGATACTTGTAGTAGCCCAAGCTGGCCTTGAACTCTGGATCCTCCTGCCTCTACCTCCCAAGTGATGGGATTAAAGGAGAGTATGCCACCAGCCCCAGCTTTATGCAGTGCTGGACTTCATACATGTTAGGCAAGTGCCCTGCCCAAATGAGCCACACACACATCCCAAGACCTTGTTTGCCGAATGTCTTGTTTTGGTCTGACCACCAGACTAAGCAGTATTAAAAAGTTCAAGGTTTGTGTTGTTTCTTAATAACAGATTAAAATACTCTATTAGCTAAAATTCAGTCAACTCTAGAAAATTAAGCCTTGACAATCAATACAGTAAATACGAAAAATAACAAATATGATTGTTTTGATTTATAATCATTTTGTGAAGTTATCCTTAAAACTGAAGCCTACATGTGGTATATAGTTGCATATAATTCTTTTTGTGCTTAATAAAGTTGTGCTTAATAAAATTCTAAATTTAAGGAAATCTATGCTCCAAAACTCCAAGAGTTTGCTTATGTCACTGATGGTGCTTGCAGTGAAGTAGATATCTTAAAGATGGAACTCAATATATTAAAGGTAATTATGCCTTAATTTTCAGTTGCAACTTCATAATATAATAATTGATTGAACCACAAATATAACAAATAGCCAAAATTTAGGGACAGTAAGATGGTGGGTTAAAGGCACTTACTGATATGCTGAGTTTGATCCTAGTGACCCATATGGTATACAGTTATTTTCTGACTTTCACACAGAAGCCATGACATGTGCCCACTCCCAAATTGAATAGTTTTAAAATATTTTATTATTTTTATTTTATATGTATGAGTGTATTACCTGCATGTGTGTAAGGGCACCCATGCCGTGCAATGCCTGCAGAGGTCAGAAGAAGGCATCAGATTCCCCTGGAACTGGAGTTACGGATGGTTGTTAGCCACCATGTGGGTGCTGGGAATCGAACCCAGGTCCTCTGCAAGAGCAGTCAGTGCTCTTAACCTCTGAGCCATCTCTCCAGCCCCGAATATAGTTTAAGTACATATTTTTTGAGACGGGTCTCCCCAACTGGCCTTGATCTCAAAGATCAACCTGCTTCTGCCTCCAGATTGCTGAGATTAAGGATGTGTGCCATCATGCCTGGCTTAAAAAAAAAAAAAAAATTAAGGGCTAAAATTGAGGCTTTAGTCTTAATATGTAATTTAAAAAGTTAATGCAGCAAAATATTGGCATTGGTTAATGGTTGGTAGGGAAAGTTATTTAACTTCTAAACTCTACTGCATAATGTGATCTAATCTATATGTATAGTCACTAGTCATTAACAGGCATTTTCATTGGCAGGCTTTAAAGTGGGAACTTTGTCCTGTAACAGTTATCTCCTGGTTAAATCTTTTTCTTCAAGTTGATGCTGTTAAAGATGCTCCTAAAGTTCTTCTACCTCAGTATTCTCAGGAAACATTCATTCAAATAGCTCAGGTACTGACACTGTTATTTAGTATATGTTAATATTACTGTTAACACATATTTGTTTAATAATAGTCTTAGACTAGATAACAAAATGGTATGTTGTATTTTCTTAGTTGACAGCAAATAAGCAACCTTATTTTGTTAAGATAGGGTTAATTTATATAACCCAGGCTGGCCTGGTCTGGCTGTGTAGATAGACCTTGCATGGCCTTGATCTCACAGACATCCACCTGCCTCTAGTGCTAAGATTAAAGGTGTCCATGCCACCATGCCCAGGCCCTACTGTAAGGTTTTGTTTTTGTTGTTTTTGAGACTGAAACTCCAAATTTTCTAGGTAGGACAACATTGCAATATTCTATCAAAGTAACTATAGCGGTTGCTGGGCTCATTCTTTGCCTACTACTTGTAAGAACCATCTTAAGGCTTCAGTATCTACCATGTATAAAAGTAAAGAAAATCTCCAATTTTGTGGCATTTCATTGTATTAAACTATTTAAGTTAAAATGTGTTTAAATCTGTAAGCCAACAAAGACGTAGAAAGTTTCTAGTATATGTTATAGATTAAACATCCCTAATCCACAACTGAAAACTTCCATACCAATACTTCTCATTTTAATAGTGTGAACTATCTGAAATCCAAGTAATGTTCTATTTCAAACATTCTTTACCTCCCGTCTTCCTGCCAACCTTGTCTTTTAATAATTTAAAATATTAGAAGCCTTCACTAGCTTTTGCAATCTGAATTAAGTGTCCCTCTTGCAATACGTATCACACTGTTATTACAATCCTTTCCTTGTCTACTTACTCCCTTCCCTGCAATCCCAAGACTACTTCCTTCAGGGTGGCAGCTTATTTATCTTCGAATCCTTAAGAGTTTTTAAAAAATATTTTATTATTTTTATTTTATGTGTATGAGTGTTATGCCTGCATGTAGGTAAGTGCACCCTTGTCGTGCAGTGCCTGTGGAGGACAGAAGAGGGCCTCAGATTTCCTTGAACTGGAGTTATGGACAGTTGTTAGCTTCCATGTGGGTGCTGGGATTTGAACCTGGGTTTTCTGCAAGAAGAGTCAGTGTTCTTAACTGCTGAGCCATCTCTCTAGCCCCTGACTCTTTAGAGTTCTAATAGTCCTGGGTATATGGTCTATAAAGCAGTGAGATGGAAGAGTATTCAGTTTTCTCCTAAATTACTTACACTTTTGTTTTCTACTCGTTAGCTTTTAGATCTGTGTATTCTAGCCATTGACTCGTTAGAATTCCAGTACAGAATTCTGGCTGCTGCCGCCTTGTGCCATTTTACCTCCATTGAAGTGGTTAAGAAAGCCTCAGGTAAGATTTTGTTCTCTTCTTACCTGTTCACAAAATTTAACAGAACTATAACAGCTTACCAAACATGAATTTAACAATTTAGTAGTTTCAGGTTCTTCCTTTCTGTTATAAAGTACTTTACAACCCTTAGTTTATCTTCACAAACAAAAAACAAGGCCAAATGGAAATTAAACCCATTTGAAGCAAAGCAACATACTTTTTAAGTCAATTCAATTTCAATTTCATATGAAAAGGTACTGGTTAAGAAGTTCTAAAGAGGGAGGGGCTGGAGAGACCAGCCTTTAAGAGTACTTACTGCTCTTGCAAAGAACCAGAGTTCAGTTCCTAGCACCTACATCGGGTAGCTCACAACCTCCTGTAACTCTAGCTCCAGGCCAGCAGAACGCTTCCTCTGGCTTCTGTTGAGCACCTGTGCACATGTCTGGGTGTGCATGCATGCACACACGTACATAAAGCCTGAAGCACATGCCTATAATCCCAACATTTTAAATGACTGCCACAAATCTGAGTCCACCCTGGGCTAGGGTGTGTGTGCATGCACACACATACATAAAGCTCTGAAGCACATGCCTATAATCCCAACACTTGAATTGATTGCCACAAATTTGAGTCCACCCTGGGCTACAAGATGAGCTGCAAATAAACTATGAAGCTTTTTTTTTTTTTTTTTAACCTTTTAGATGGTCCTGTTATAAACACAGTTTGAGAGTAATAATGTTTAGATAATTGGGGGTTGTTTACTTTGAAAATGAATTTTTAAATAACTTGAAAGTTGAGAACATCAAAAAGTACATTAGGAATATTAGTTTCTGATATAACCTTAACATTTTCCCAACTTTTAAAATTTAGGTTTGGAGTGGGAGAACATCTCAGAATGTGTAGACTGGATGGTGCCTTTTGTTAGTGTAGTAAAGAGTACTCCTCCAGTGAAGCTGAAGAACTTTAAGAAAATACCTATGGAAGCCAGACATAATATCCAGACACATACAAATTCTTTGGCTCTGCTGGTATGTTTGTTT